GGGGAGCGAGGAAGGCGGTGGCGGTGATGGTGCCGAGCTTTTACGAGGCGGCATCAGCGCCTGTTCTCACCCCGCCCACGGCCTTCCCCGGTATAAGCGGAGAAGGGGTTATGTGGGGGACTACCCACCCAGGGACAGCATTAGGTGGTGTTCGACAATGTTTTTGTCAGTGCCGAACTCGAAGCAGTGTACCGGGTGATTCAGAGAAGACGCAGGTGCCGGCGGGTTTGCCTACCCGCTCTGCCCGTAAGGCGCTATCCGCCATCCGCCATAGCCCCTCGGGTAGGCACCTGCGTCTTCTCTGAATCACCTGGTACATTGCTAGTATGCCTCCTTCTTGGGGTGGGATGACATGCGTCCACCTCCATGGTACACGCCCACGGGCAGCATAGCCTATGTTAGCCTAGCTTATCTCAGCAACAATCAGCATTCTTGTCGTTTGAAATGTTACTAACATCCGTTAATTAACGAACTCCTTCCTTCGGGCTGTCGGTGTTAGTCCGGCCCTACCTTGTTTTTGTAACGGAATGGCAAACGTGCTAGAACCTCCGCGGAGGTAAAAAGCAATTTCAATTTCAATCATGTGGCTGATAAGAAAAAATAAAATAAATTAAGGATCAAAGTTGAGCGGTTTAACTCAACGAATCGTAATCAATACAGGGGCGCAGGCTGGGCGCGGTGGCGGCCGTGTTCACACAACAAGTTTGGAGCGGCGCGCCGCACGCGAGCGCCTCTGAGTGGCTGAGCCGGGTTGAGTGGCGCCGCGTGGGGCCTTCCCCCCGGGGAGAACAAACAAAACTACTCGCCCCGCAAACTCGCCCTGCTGGGACACCAAACGACTCACTGCAAACGGTTCGCCGCACCTCATCGCCTCCGCTACTTCCCTGTTCCTTTCCGCCGGCCAATCACAGCAGCTAGCCGGGCCCGGCGGGGTTGACCCAGTCTCGTTTACACCCCCGCCCCGCCCCGCCGCCCCCACAGGTGCAGGTGGTGGTGCAGCTACAACCCCGCAAGTCACGGCGGCTGCCCGAGCAGTTGGGGCGGCGGCCCACCTTCATTGACTGACCTGGGAAACCCTATTGTACGCAAGTTTCCGCCTCGGGCGCCCCCGCCCCGCCCTACCCCGCCGCGCCCCTGTGGCGGGCCGTGGGGCGTATCTCAGCGCCCCGGCGGGCGGCCGCCACTGCCGCCAGTCGCTTGCCGGCCGCCGGGCGGAGCTGGTCCGTGCGTGTGCGTGAGTGCGTGCCCGCAGCCATGGCACCGACGGCGTGCAGCGTCCCGCTGTTTGACGCGACGACCCGCAGGTGTGTGCGCGTGTGTGTGTAGTGTGTGGCGTCCCACGAACGACGTGGCCGCGCGTTTAGGTTCCCCGCTCGGTCCTGGGTGCAAGGGATGGTCCGGTGGCCCCTGCACAGTCTCGGCCACTTGCTCTACCGGACATGCCTCTGCTCTGCCAGGTGTCAGACCGTCACGAGAAGATTGAGGACGAGTCGCGTCGACCAGAAGGGAGAAAGGGGGGGGGGGTTAGGCGGGGGCACGTGACTCTCGCGATATGGAACTGACCACCCTATGGAGGAGCGGCTACCAAGGTTCAATAACCGACCGCAACCGAGCGTCTCAGGAAATGTCCTGAATTATCTTAAACGGCGTTTGGATTCCAAGTATTGAAGTTGCCTTCTTGCTATGGTTGCATAGTAGGTGCATCAAAGACGTAAGGGAGAGTGGGGCACATAGTGTCACTTTTTGGAAAGTCTTCTCTCACAGTCCTATTTTAGGCAGCATTACGGGTTTTGGGGTTGGTGAGCCTCTATTCGACCTTCAGTCACACGAAATCATTGAGACCCGCGCAAAAATATTCGTGTCTTCTCTCAAATCATCTCGAGAAGGAACCTCGGTAATTGACAGTATGTGCCCCGGGGGTGGGGCACTAGCTGTCACCATG